TGTAAACTCCACTTACCCTCAGAGGTCCTAATGCATCAGTGCACCCTTTCTTGACTTGCCTCCCTTCTTGGACTTACTTCACCATTCCCTAACCACACTTCCTAGCATTATCTTCCAATCAAACCATCAACCTAAGTCCTTGTCTCAGGATCTGCTTGGGGGAACATCATGTCCCCAAAATTGTCCCAGGTAGGCTTATCTTCCTCCCACTCTGGTCAGAATCATCCAGCACTGCCCTCGTGTGCTTCTCTTCACTCATTACTACACCCTAGTTACTCACACAGGCTCAGACCTTCTTGTTGAAACACTAGAACTAATCTCCCCCTTTGAATAACAGAAACCAAAATAAATTCTGCAAGCCCTCTCTGCATTTGCTGATTCCCTGGATTATATAATCCGGGGTATGAAAAAGCTTCGTGGAAGCCATCAGGGTTCATGCATTTAGAGAACCCTGGAACCAGAGACTTCTATGCCCTCATCCTCTGGGATTTGCTTCTGGGAAGCCAACTATCAGGCAGGTCTGCTCCAGATATGACTGAGTCCAGTCAAGAAGGACTGCATAAGGCATAGTTGCCTCCAGCTTATACTAACTGGATGTAATAAATTCACAGGCTGGTTTCCCTGAGAAGCAGACACTGAAAGAGAGGTCTGTATGCAGAAAGTTTACTGGGGACTATGCTTGGTATCTGTTGGAGAAGAGCGTGTAATGATGTAGGACTGAGCAGAAGGACTAACTGTGATATAATTGAAGCAAGGGTCTCATCTGGTCCCACGGAGAGATAGGGGTGGCTTTGCAGAGCTGGCTCAAATTGAGCAAAGAGACTGACCTTTATAACTCAATTTGACCAGTAAGTGTATGGGAACTGCCCCAGAAAAGGTCATGACTTTGAGTATGGAGATTCAATTTAGCCAAGGACAAGACCAGGAGACCAAATATATTTCAGGGAACTATAAGGCAACCTCAGTATCCCCCACATCAGTGTTAATGAGTTTTTAGGGGGAGAAAGTATCATAAACTCCTATGTCACTTGCAGAAGGTAAAGAATATAAGTGATTGTCTCATGATTTCCCAACTAAAGAGGAATTGGAGCCAACCCACTTGACAGTGGAAAGAACACAAGTCACTCAACAG